GTTTTTTACTCTTCATGCAAATTGAAGACCGCCTTTGTTTCATTTTTACACCAATGAAAAAGTAATAAAATCTGTTTATGTGTTTTAGGCAAATATATAACCGTATATCTAATAGCACGCGATTGGCCGGTGACGAGAGTGCGAAAAATTCTACAAATTTGCTGTTTCATGTTCCAAAATTCGTGATTCCGGCAATTTTAAATGTTTTGCTATTTGAATGGCCAAACCATAATGTTTGCGAAACACCAATCGATCCAACACAACATGTGGCTTCAATCGATTAAACATAGACAAAGAATAATAATTAAAATCATAGCATTATTCTCATTCTACAACAAAAATTCATGATCAAATTTACTGTGCATATGTTAAAGGTATTCCGATTTTAGTATCGACATGTTTCAATGTATTTATCTGGATTATGGCTGGCAATAAATGCTTTGCCAAAGTATGCAGCTCGAATCAAGCTCTTCTGAGTATTTGTGTCAAATTCATAGCTGGCCGCTTAAGACCCATAAAAATGATCGTATCTATCGTAAAACAAATGAAGCACAATCACCATTCAATTTGCTTTGGTTTTTCAGATTGATTTGTTTTAAATTCACAGTATTTTGTTTGCAAATCAGACGTTCCCGATGCCGTTATTTGTATACATACAATGCCAAAAATCGATGATTATACGAAACGGACATTGCGAAAATACTTTTAAATTCATTTTCAATGGATACCGTTTGTACGGAACACACACTATATCCCTGGCTTAATTTGAACAATTCATGTTCACGTACAACCAAACTGCATGTATTTCGATCTTCATTGATAATAATCCAACACGTTGGATCGAGTATCGATTCTGTAAATAAATCAAATCAAAAGTAAGTATCATCAAAGTTAGTCTTAATCGAACGTATGGGTGATGATATTCACTTGGCATTTCGGGCAATTGTCGATTTTTCGGCTCTTTTATACTATTTATAAGGAATATACGATAATTGGTGGTCATTACAGCAACGCCTGTCCCTGAATTTGATGTAAATATTTTGGCATCGATGACTTTTGTGTTTATGACTTTTTTTTGCTCATAACCATTTCAACCACGATACAATCGAATGAAAATTAAAAGAATCACCAATAGATGGCGCATCGTCTATTGGTCATTGTTTCAGATTGAATTAATTATGCGCAATTACATATACATACACATACACAGTAGCAGCTAGTTTGTCGGCATTGTTATTACGAAATGTCAAATAATCTTTCGCATTTACACAGCGAACTCCAATTGGATTAGTTGAAATAATTTAGTCTCAAAGGCGGAAAAAAACCGTAATTAATTTTTAGTGTGCTCAAAATCACATAAAACTCAATAATTATCGAATTAATTCATATTTTGTTGTGATTTCAAACAAATTGATAACAAATTGGAAAATATTCTTAACTTTAAAAAACGTGTTTGATAATTTCATCATCTAAACGATCAAAGAAATTGAGACGCAATTGTCAATTGAACCAACGGAACAATTTTTCAATTTTTCCTGTGCATTAATTCATCAAAGTCCCAAAATAAATCAGGTAAATTCATGTTTTGTCGTGTTTCGAAAATAAATTATCGCTATTGATTGCAAATTGATGAGTATTTCTAAATTGATTGGTGATTTTCGGATTTTTTCGGCACATGTTCAATTTTTTTTTTTTCTTTGCTTTTTGAAGTTTGGTTATGTTCTGTTCCGCTTGTTTGTTGTCCAAGATCCATTCTTTGATATTGTACGAATATGTATCGATTTGTTTCTATTTTTTCCGTATTTTATAATTAAGGATGCGTCCGAAGCGTACTTGCGTTAATGAAACGAATGAAAGAATTCGAATATACTCTGAATGGGCCAATTCGCAGCGTCAACGACAACCAACGAACAACGCATCGGCCAATAGTCAACAAACTGAGCCGACACAAAATCAAGACGAAGAAGAAGAAGAGAATCAATCATTGGATGTGACTGTGGACAATAGCCAACAAACTGAGCCGACACAAGAGCATGTGGATGTACAAGACGGAGTTCATCAATCGATCGAAATTCAATTAGAACAGTGTACACCATGCACAGTTGGTTTGGAAGTCATGTCACAGAACGATTCTGAAACTCAGTATTTCAATCGATACCGAGCCACAAATACAACTGGATCCAAAAGACGGAAAGGTAAATAGCTGGTTGTGTTGTGTCTTTCGTTTGATATTTTTTTCTACTTCTTCTTTTGATTCTGAAAATAAAAACACACGACAATATAAATACGGGTCCAAAGGGAACCCGAATCAATTCTTTTCTAATCTAATGAAAATGTTTCTATACAGTCATTGAATCGGATGACGATGATGATGATGATGATGATGTTGTCGACGCACACAGTAATGTCACGCACACGCCTAGTTTAGTCTCGCCACAGACTTCGACACAATCGAAACGCGTACGATTCGATCAAAACAATCGACAGCAACAACGACCATCAAATTCGTCAAGCCACAATTCACCAATTCATCAAAATATACAAAATGCCGGCACATCGTCAACACACAATCAAATCGAAATGGAATGCCAAAATGTGTTTTCTTCCATGACAAGAATAATAGCTTCAAACGCAGCACATCGTCAAATCGGTAAAATATTAAAATCGCTTAAAATGACTACATAGTTTTTTTTTGTAGATTTTTATTGATTTCATATAACAGAATTTATATGATTTACAACACATTTCTCTCTACACACAATTGAATCAGTTCACACGGAACATCAAATTGAATTCAAACGTTAAACAAAAAGTCGAAGATTTGGTGGAAAAATTCAA